GGGGCGAGATTTTAAAATAAACTCGTGCAGGTCCGATATCACAGGAGTGTGGATACCAAATTTGGTTGCTCTAGCTCTTATAGTCTCTGAGATCTAGGAACTCACTTTTAGCACAAGGCAAAGCCGACCATGAAACGTGTGCGTTAGAGAAAGACAGATCGAGAGAAAATAAAATTTTTTTTCTTCATTCTGGTTACAATAATAATGCCATCTGGTTCAGATTCTGTAGTCTAGAAGATATAGTCATTCTCTACGATTCTGCGTTGTTGGTTGATGCTGATCAAGAATATATATACTTTATGGGGTCGGAAACGCTTCCTTCTGTACGCTACACACATCCATTTTCACCACAAATCTAATATACGCCTATACTCATTTTGAGTATCGGGTATGAAAACCACCTCTCAGTAATGCGCGTAAGGCTGAACGACCCCGTTTTGAAAAGGAACAGGTGACATGGAACGAGGAATGACACAATGTCGTGTTTTCCGATGAAAAAAAGTTCAACATGGATGGACCGGACGGCTATAACTACTAACACCATGACCTACAAAAGGAGGAATGTTTTTGAGTCGAAATCCCAGCTGCGCGGGAAGCATAATGGTATGGGGTGCGATTTCCTATTATGGGACTTGTGAGCTACCGTTTCTTTCATCGAAAATGAATGCAAATGTGTTGAAAACTGTCATACAAAAGACATTCCTACATTTTTGATTCGAGTTTGTGGATATACCAGCACGACAATTCCCCCATTCATACTGCTAGAGTGGTAATACAGTGGATAAGTCAACAAAATGTGAAATTGCTAAATATTATTGAAAACTTTTTGGGGTATATGACGGTGGAAGGCAATTTCAAGACACTGAGACCCTAATTGACGCCATTAAATCAGTCTACGCAACTATATCGATCAATGTTCTAGAAAATTATTACAAGTCCCTAAAAGATCGAATATATAAAGTAATATCAAGCCAAGTTGGGACTACCAAATGCTAACTTATACTTCGGAGTTATTTTAATACCCGATACTCAAAATGAGTATATATTATATTAGATTGTGGTAAAAGTGGATGTGTGTATCGTCCAGAAGGAGTCGTTTCCGACCCCATAAAGTATATATATTCTTGATCAGCATCAATAGCCGAGTCGATTGAGCCCTGTCTGTCTGTCCGTCCGTCCGTCTGTCTCTCTCTAACACAGGTTTCATGGTCGGTTTTGCCAATTGCAAAAAAAGAGTTCAAGGATCTCAGAACTTATAAGAGCCAGAGCAGCCAAATTTAGTATCCACACTCCTGTGATATCGGACCTTGACCGTTTGTTCTCAAAATTTCGCCCCACCCCCTTCCGCCCGCACAAAGAACGAAAATCTGTTGCATCCACAATATTGCAGATTCGAGAAAACTAAAAACGCAGAATCATGGATAATGACCACGCACGCACTCTTTGTCGTGTCGTTCCATATTAGCGGCGTCTGCTGGTCCGGTTGCTGAATCTGGATCAGATCAGATCATTTTTGTAGCCAAAAGGAACAAATCAATTTGCACTGGCTACGCAGCGCCTGACGTCACGCTCAGACTGATTTTCTGTCTCTCTCGCACGCCCTCTTTGTCGTGTCGTTTAATATTAGCGGCGCCTGCCGGAGGAGAGCCATATTGACCAAGTATCGGGTATAAATGTAGAGTTGCGGTCTCCGCAGCAACTCACAACGTTCCCCGTCGTTTTATGTTAAAATCAGCAACAGATGTGCTTTTTGAATTTTTAAATTCCTGAATCTATGCAGTTGATCTAGAATAAATAGGCATTTTTTGTAATTTTTTTGATAAAATTAATAAAAAGCCTTAAAAAACGTGTCCTGGAAATCACAAACTTTCTTGTTATATTAACAATGAATCTATCTATACAAAAAATGTATTGCATATAAATCGATAAGTTTGTTAAAAAGATATAGCGGTTTGACTTTTGAAAATTGTTGAAAATATTCAGTTGAGCGGCACTGTATGTAGTTTTTATTGTTGCGGGCAGTGCAAGCCAAGTTGTGTTGGCCGTATTGCCATCTCTGTTATTTTCATATTTATGGGCCATCTTTTCTTATTGATTACTTAGACCATCCAAGAAACGTTTGATTATACCCGGTACTCAAGAGTATAGCGGTATATTAAATTTGTGGTGAAAGTGGATGTGTGTAACACCCAGTAGGAAGCGTATAGAGAAAAGTTCATATGTTTTTGGTCATCATCAATAGCCGAGTTGATATAGCCATTTCTGTCTGTCCGTCTTGCTTGACGCCTAGTTCTCAGAGACTATAAGAGCTAGAGCAACCAAATTTTTTACCCGCCCTTAATTGATATTACACTGTTACAAGTGTATTTCGCCTCGCTCCCTTCCGGGCCGAAAGATTGAACATCTGTGGAATCCACAATTTACGAGATACGAGAAAATCGAAAACACAGAATCGTTGAGAAGTACCAAATATAGGGAATCTTATTTTAGCTAGAAGGAACTAATATAATTGCAGTGGCTGCGCAACGCCTTTCATGCGCTTGCTCATTCCCTCTCTTTCTCTCTCATAAAACACACTCAGCCTCGTTCAGTATGCGCAATATGCGGTAAGGGAGCGAGATAAAACGGCTGGTGTTAGTGTAAAAATAGAAAGAGACAGATATAAAATAAAAATGTAAAGAAAAATGGAAACAGATAAAACTAGATTTATAAATATCTCTCGAACGGTTCAATCGATGTTTATGAAATTTTTCTTTGCAAAAAATCAGACCTCGCAAATAACGGTTGACACTTTCGGAATGAAAAACGAAGGGGAACGTTGTGCGCGCCCGTCGAAACATTCTGACTAATTTTCTGTCTCTCTCGCACGCACTCTTTGTCGTGTCGTTTAATATTAGCGGCGTCAGCCGGAGGAGAGCTACACTGACTAAGTATCGGGGATAAATGTACAGTTGCGCTCTCATAGATCTCATAGATCCGGTCATTCTCTATGATTGTACGTTTTTAGTTTTCTCGTATGTATCTTCAATATTGTGGATGCCACAGATTTTCGTCCTTTGTGTTGTCGGAAGGGGGTGGGGCGAAATTTTGAAACACACTTGTGGCAGTGAGCTCTCTACAGTGAGCAAAAATAAATACATTTGTAACAGTAAGCTCTGCAGTGAAAAATTAAAAATAGTTTTGTAACAGTGAGAGCTCTACAGTCAGTTCTAATAGTCTCTGAGATTTGTGGATGCCCCAGATTTTCGTCCTTTCCGGGGGCGGAAGAGAGTGCGGCGAAATTTTGAAGCAAACTCGTCAAGGTCCGATATCACAGGAGTGTGGATGAAAAATTTGGTTGCTCTAGCTTTTATAGTCTCTGAGATCTAGGCACTAATGTTTTACGCTAAGCAAAGCCGGCTATGATACGTGTGTGTTAGAGAGAGACAGGGTGAGAAAAAACGAAATTGTTTTCTTCATTCTGGCTATAATAATGATACGATCTAATTCAGGTTCTGCAGTCTAGAAGATATGGTCATTCTCTACGATTCTGCGTTTTTGGTTTTCTCGTATCTTTGAAATTGTTGAAGTGGGGCGGGGAGGAAATTCCTTCTGGACGTTACACACATTCATTTTTACCACAAATCGAATATACCCCAATACTCATTTTGTGTATCGGGTATAAAAAACAACTCTTTATCGACACATTGAGAAAAGAGACAGAAAGGTACGGATTAAACATGTTTGTCCTCAGGTCGCTCTTCGCTCGAGCAAAAACCGATATTTACACGTCTCTTTGATGTAAGCAAACGGCAAAAGTATCTTGTGCATATGTATGCGCGCTTGCGAGTGTGGTGCCTATGTCAACGATCACTTGCCAGTGCAGACAATATATACTATATTGTATATATATATATATATATATATATATATATATAATGGGGCAAAATGCAGTTGAATTTCTACTGGGCATTATTACCTTTATTATCATCACATTTCTTCTTCATCATCTGTCTTCAGATTGGAGACAATTTTGCAAATCTCTAAAAATATTATTATATAAAGATAAAAAATAAATAAAACTAGGTATTAACACAGTATGGGGCGATAACTACTGAGGCCTTAAGCTTACTAGAGTAATATTATATATTATACTATGTATACAGGATTAGTTATATACGTGATTATATGCTGAGAAGGATTTTTGAGTGATCTAGGAATTTGAGGATTATATTGGAGTTTTTATATATATTTTATTATTATATTACATTATATTTATATATTAGATTTGTGGTAAAAGTGGATGTGTGTAACGTCCAGAAGGAATCGTTTCCGACCCCATAAAGTATATATATTCTTGATCAGCATCAATAGCCGAGTCGATTGAGCCCTGCCCGTCTGTCTCTCTCTAACACACAGGTTTCATGGCCGGTTTTGCCAATTGCAAAATATGAGTTCAAGGATCTCAGAACCCATAAGAGCTAGAGCAACCAAATTTGGTCTCCATACTCCTGTGATATCGGACCTTGACCGTTTTGTGTCAAAATTTCGCCACATCCCCTTCCGCCCCCGCAAAGGACGAAAATCTGTTGCATCCACAATATTACAGATTCGAGAAAACTAAAAACGCAGAATCATAGATAACGACCATATCTATCAGATTGCTGAATTTGGATCAGATCAGATAATTTTTATAGCCAAAAGGAACAAATCAATTTGCAGTGGCTACGCAGCGCCCGACGTCACGCTCAGACTGATTTTCTGTCTCTCTCGCACGCACTCTTTGTCGTGTCGTTTAATATTAGCGCCGTCTGCCGGAGGAGAGCCATACTGACTAAGTATCGGGTATAAATGTAGAGTTGCGGTCTCCGGAGCAACTCACAACGTTCCCCTTCGTTTAAACTGATCTTGTTGCTTTGTTTAAGTAGCCAGAACATTTTCTGGGCCTTACCTACCAGCTTGCTCCTCACGCTACGAGTGTGACTGTCGAAAGTTAAAGGTGCATCCAGTGTAACTCCGGGTTCTGATCAACAATATTCGCCTCCGTCAGGCTGTTTAGTAAATTTATTGAAAACCTTAGTTGGCGCAATAAATGTTAACCATCTATCTAATAAATAGTTTGATTGTATATTACAAATTTTTTTTCATTCTTAGCAGGAAAAATAAGCTTACAAATAAAAAACAATGAGCCGAAACACTGAACTAGAAGTGGTTTTCTGTAAATTTAGGCGGAGAACTGTACTCCAACTTAACATGCGCTCGATACTCTTCATCATCGTCGTGATATTCTCTATAGCACTGGGAGCAGAATAATTCGCCATCGCATCCACGGCAACGAAAGACGGCATCCTCATTACAAATATTACACCAAGGCAGCTCCTCAGTAATACTATTTTTGGCCAGCTCACCCTCAACGCCATCATTTAGGTTGCTTTGCCCAGTTAGTAAACTTGATTCTGCAACGTACTGTTCGATTTGTTAAACCTTTTGGTATTAATATAATGTATAAAGTAACAAACCTTTTTTATTACATTTCTTAGGATCATTTCTTCATCCTCGTTTTCGCTGGGAGTATTTAAAGTTTTCGATAGCTTTGCACCCGTACCTGCCTCATTATCAAGTGGGGCATTCCGTAGTGCACACAAACGTCGTTCAATGTCGGAAATCGCATCGTTACGTTGGGTTTCCACTTTCTGATCCAACTGGGTTTCATCCATAAACTGATCAAGCAAATCTTTAATTTTTTCCTGGTCACTTCTTTGATCCGTGGAAAGCAGCAAATCCTTTTTGTAGTAGTTCTTTTGATCGGTAAGGCCACTTATGTTAGCGAGACGTGTCCGAATTTCATCGTCTGTTGCATCGACATCTTTAAGATTCTGCAATCGTTTTGCTATTGCACTATCCAAATTTTCTTCAATGTCTTCTTTTGTAGAGTCCCCTGCGGTCCTTATGGGTGCCAGAACTGCTGCCAGTTCCTCAGACGGCAAAACACTGCTGCAGTGAAAGGTAGCTTACAATTGGGTTGGCAAACGTCTGTGTCTGTACCTACTTGAAAAGTACGTCTGCCTTTTCGAGTTCCAACCGGGTGGAACTATTTAAAGGATGTGGTAGGCGCAGTTTGGTAACAAGTTCCCCGGGCAATGCATCGCAGTCAATGACTTTTTCATGATCGATACAGGTCTGTATCTTGGACAGTTTATCGTAGCAAATTAAGCAGACATTCAGCACCTTCCCTGCGAACCGAGGTACCGGTATTGGCCTCTTCAGACACTTTGAGCAGTAGGAGAAGCCGCAGTTGGGACACCCATACTAAAACAAGATAAATTAGTATAGAATATAAAGTAAATATTATATTCTTGCCTCTTTGCTAAATAATCCATATTTGCGGCTGCAGCCGAAGCAGCTCATGATGGCGAGGAAACAAAAAATATATAGTCGAAATAAAATTTGAAAGTAAAAAATATGTAAACAAAGGCTTTTTCACTAGATGTTCTTGCTATATTTTGTCATCAATCTGAGCTATCGAATTTCTGCATATACGATATGCATGTTGGGGGGATTCGTGTAAATGAATTCTACATCCTTTAAACTTCGTGGATCAGCTGCATTCAAGGTGACCATATATCCAGCTGTAAAAAGAAAGAAAACTAAACAAGAATATCCCGTAAGATATTTTAATTTTCTTTAAATTATCAGGTAGGCTCCGTTGTTCATTTACTTTTGCGGATTACGTTTTCTGCCAAAACGTTTCGTTTTAAGGTTCTCCAGTTTTCGCATATTTTTGCTGTTTGCACCAAAACGAAAATTGTTCTTGCCCTGGCCAAATTTGAGGTTGGCTTTATATAAAATTATTTATAAAGAAATCAAAAGTTAAATTACGCTATTAATAAGTCATCTATTTTTTCCCTTTTGCAATTGAGGGTCGTTTAGTTGCATAAACAGCCGTTTACTTTTCATTTCGTCAAAGAAAATGTTTTCGTTTTGAAAACGATTAAATCTTGCGGAATGTGAAAACGGGAGCCCCAATTTATGTGTATTCAAAAGTAAATGGGAAAACTTTTGTGAATGTGAAAAACGAAGCCTGGCTGTATATATTAAAAAACATCTGAAAAAACTCAGTAATCAATTTGATCCTTTTTTGAGTTTTACAGTTAATTTAATGGCTCGCTTAGCACATTGCAGTTAGTGCAATTGTACTCACTAGTCAAATACTGTACGGTCTTATAAATAATCTGCACGAAATCAAAGAAATAAACTTTAAGGACAAAACAGAAAACATACATACAGACATATACCTTTTGGGATAAACTTGCAGTGTGAGTGAGAGAAATATAGCTCTGCGACTGAAAGCATATTTATAACACTAGGCACTAAATGAAACTTTTTATTTACGCTTTAAACCAAAACCGACTTTTTTGATGTTTTTTGTATCTATGTCAAGTTTTTTAAAGTTTTTTGATATTTTTTTCAAACAAACATATTTAGTTAATGACCATTAATGTAGTTATTGTTCACTGAATACCCCGCAGTATTCGTTCCACCAAAATCCTCCCGGTATCGGAAAATTAGTTTTATGGTTGCAGAAATCGTACGCGAAAAACATACATAAAAGTCGACTTTGACTTAATCAATATCAATCAAATATGGGAAATGGATCGGAATATTCTGAAGCGAAATTATAGACTAATATATCAAATTTTATTTAATATTAAAAATAAATCAACAAAGAGAATTCGTAGCAAGAGTGATAACATTATATACACATGTATGTATTTTTTTCATGTATACCAAATTAAATATACAAATTCCTTTATTTTATTTTTTTAGAATTGTATACATTTCTTATAATCACACATACAAAAATCCGATAATTATCAACATGATTATCGGTCCTGGTTGACCATTCGGCGGAAGGGACCATATTTGTATAGTACATATGTATCTACACATGTATAATTATACCTATTCGAAAGTACAACCCCAGATTTTCCATGCATGCTCATATAAGACCCCGATAGGGGCCCGGGCCATACAAAATTCAGGCATATGTACATACATATATGTATGTATGCGTAAATTGTATTTTGCTTATACTCTTGCAGAGGGTATTATTATTTTGTGCCACATGTTGCCAACCATAAAGATTGGTATACATTTTACATACATACATACATATGTACATATTTAAGTCAGAATCGTAAATTTTGGCTCACTGAATCGCAAATTTTCAGGCAGGCTCCGGGTTTTACTTTCACAAAAATTCTGTCAATCACATAAGTGGGTGCTCCCCTTCTCAAAACGGAAACATTTTCCTCCCTGAAATGAAAAGTAAAAGGCTTTTTATACAACAAAACGAGTCTTAACTGCAAAATTAAAAAATATATCTTTAATTGTTGCATTATCAGGGTAAATTATCTTGTGCCTTTAGAAATAATTTTTTGTTAACCCAAAATGTTGGCAAAAAATATATTTTTGCGAATAATAGCACAAATGTGCGCTAAACAGCTTAAATTATTGTACGTTGACACGCTATAACTGCATCTTTCAAGAGGCGAAGCAATTACTGCACCGTCAAGTGGCCCGTGTGACACCAGCAGAAGTTGTGCTCGTAACAAGGGCGTAACAGATCATCTGGGTAAAGACAGCTACATATGTATTTCCCGCAGCTATTTGGCATACTGTATATTTGTTTGCCACAATCGATGAGAAAATGAAACATGTCGATAGCAAATATTTGTGAAAAATTAAGCATTTAAAAAAAAACCACGCAAAAGTTAGCGAAAACCGGAGTCTGCCTATTTATGTAAATATGCATCTAATTGCCGTTGAAGCGATTGATCGAAAAACAAGTATGTAAGTCTGTATCTGTAAAAATTGGATGGCTATATCATAGGCCATAATATAAAATATACATATGTACATACATATATACATATTTATGATACGCAGGAATAATCTCTTAGACCTTGGCCACACGCTGAAGGACATATGTACATACATATGTAAGTTGCTGAGCGATGGTCGCTTGGGTGATCGATTTGAGTGTTGTGCCGAGCTCCATCATTTATGTGTATACATTTTCAACTATACGGTTCGTTTTTGGCAATATTTGTTCAAGAATATCGAACCTTTTGAAATTGAACAGACAGCACAGATTTTTAGCATTTTATACTAAGAGCTCTGAGTTATGCAGTAAAAATAAAAACCGAATCAATTGCTGAGAGACGTCGCTTAGTCGCTCAGTTGTTGTTAACGACATCGCTAAGAGCGTGGCTGAAGCCTAGGGTATCAAAATCTTCGGCTGCCATAGCTATCCGTTCTTTCACGGTTTTGTTGTATGTAGTTATTCAATTGCGCAATGCTTGTCTGTTTTTCGCGTTTGTGTTTATTTTTTGTCTTTGTCTAGCGAATAAGAAAGTTAATTTTAATACAAACTTGAAAAACCAAAACACATACATATATGTAAATATGTTAGCACAATATGTGCGACGTTAAATTTTAGTGACAACCAGTATCGACAATGTACAAAAAAACGGCTGCACAACTCCGTCACAGTGTACACCAGAGCATCGAAAACTATCCATATAATGAGGCTAGCAGTGCCCAGGCTACTCTGCAGGCCAGTTGCAAAAGTGAGACAAAAAGCTAACATATTGCCGGTCACATAAATCAACATGTCTCGATAACATTTCAGATTCATTGAACTTTGTGCAGCGTTTAGATATACTGCAAACGCTATACGTCCATAATGGTTGCGTCAACACAGTGAACTGGAATGCAAGCGGAACACATATTGTATCTGGCTCCGATGATAACCATCTGGTCATTACTGAGGCTAAGAGCGGTCGGGTAGCACTCAAGAGCAAGACCCAACACAAGCGTCATATTTTTAGTGCACGTTTCATGCCACACAGCAACGATCAGGCTGTCGTTTCTTGCTCTGGCGAAGGCCTAGTAATCCATACTGAGTTCCAGATTCCATATAGCTCCGAAAAATGTACAAAGACAACAGACTATATAGTTGGAGAAGACAGCCGAATCGTGAACGTTTTTGATTGTCACACATTTGGGAGTACCTTCGATGTTTTGCCAATACCTGACGCACCGCGCTCCTTTCTTAGTTGCGGAGAAGATGCAACAGTACGCTGCTTCGATCTTCGCCAATCCAGTAGTTGCTCCAAGAGTATGTGCCAAAAGCACATCCTTATAATGGCGCCCTGTGCCGTGACAGCCATGGATGTAGCTCCTTTTAATCACAACAATGTGGCCATCGGCTGTTCCGACTCAATAATTCGTCTATACGACAGGCGTATGCTGGCAAATACAGGCTCTGCATCTTTGTCGTCGGGCTCAACAATACCGATTAAGGCTTTCCCTATACCAATGGAATACACGCGTCGTCACTATCGCCCCACCTGCGTAAAGTTCAATGTGAACGAATCTGAGCTGCTGGTCAGTTACTCTATGGAGCAGATTTATCTGTTTGATCTGAAACACCCTGGCTATAATGACGCAGGTCTGTTGAAAAGCGGTTGTTATACGCCCAAAATGCGCCGTGAAGACGATCCAGACCCGCAGATGCCTCGTCTTCGCTTTCGTGGCGATTGGTCCGATACTGGGCCCAACTCCCAGGCCATTGCCGAGCAGGGTTTTAACCGTCCCAATGTGGGGCAAGCTCGACCACCCCTCGAACCAGGAGTACTTAGTCGGCTTAGTGACGAAATATTTCGCATGCTTAATTCGCCCAGTCGTCAAATGCGTCAAACTTCCCAAGCAACCGAGTCAAATACAGATACAACATTAAACCGCAACTCAAATAGCTCCCTTCCTATCAGGGCGCAGAACACAATTTATGGAAATATGATCAACGAATCGGATGTAGCTAACATTTCTGTCAAATCTGGTAAGTATGAAGTTCTTAGACCCTCATAACTTATATATTTTTCAAATATGAATTAAAGGATGTCTTGAGATCACCGAGGACGCAAAAGATACTCAAAATGAGAACAAGGATGCAATTACAGCTGGAGATGGAGAAAGGTTTCCTATTCGAAATTTTAATTACGTAAAAATGGCTTTCAGTGGCCACCGTAACTCAAGGACAATGGTGAAGGGTGCTTGTTTCTGGGGGGACGACTTTATTATGTCGGGTTCCGACTGTGGCCATATATTCGTTTGGAATCGACAGACCGGAAAGGTAGTCAAGACGCTTCTGGCAGATAATCGTGTCGTCAATCGTGTTCAACCACATCCCACGCTCCCCTACCTTCTTAGTTCTGGCATCGACTACAATGTGAAGGTGTGGGCGCCAATCGCTTCTGATCCTCATTTCGATGAGGCCGAAACCGCCGGAGTAAGTGTGGTCTATTTCACTGATTTCGACAAGCCAGTAGAAATCGCATTTAATTTTTACTCTTTGCAGCTGATAAAAAGCAATGAGATTATGTTAGTGGAGACTCGCGATACTATAACCGTACCTGCCCAGATAATGATACGAATTTTGGCAAGCCTACATCAGTATCGCCGGCTGATGCACGAAGCTGGTAGCGAAGCCAGATCTAGGCAAGAAGGTCTATCTGGCAATGGTGCAGAATCTCCTAATAGTGATATATAAGTTAAATCGTGATCTAGTAACCACTCCTTTCCTTTCCCTATTTTTTCCGCATGTTTTTCCCTACTCCAACTTATGCGAAGGCAGGGTGCAGAAGCTATCAGCCTAAGAGGTAGAGAAAACGACACGTTTCTATATGTTTAATGTACATATATCCCATTAAAAGTATGACGAAGTATGACAAACAAAATTGAACTTTGTATTTACACTTCGAACCAAACCGACTTTTTCTGATAGATTTGAAGCTTTAAATTTTGTTTTTAATGTTTATTTCTTAAATGTTTTTGGTTTTTTTTAGAGGTAGTGCTTAACAAGCATCTTACATCTGCTTGTATTGAACTTTCCAATTCTAAAAGCAGATAAATGAAGCTTTAAATCGGTCTTGAAAATATTGAGATTTCGATTAGAAAATTGTTAATTTTTTAGGTTATTTTTTTTACGTTAGCCAAACCAAAAATTTTGGGATATATTGCAAAAAAACAAGTATGAGTGATCTACTCATCCTGGCCTATAAACTTATTTTTCTCTTTTGGAAAGTACATTTAAAAGGTTTCATTTGGTCGCACAATGTTACTTGTTCATATTAATATTTAATTTGTTACTATTATACTATGAATATATCTTGTGCATAAATATTTATGAAAAAATATGAAAGTTGTACAGTAGTAAACTCGAGCGGCGATTTTAAATTGAATAGTTTTATTAGTAGGTACATATGTAAGTACATAAATATGTCCGCAGACAACACGCACGAAGGCAAACACGTTTCCGAAAAACCAAAACGTTTTGCGTCAAACAAAAGAAAAATTATTCAGAGGAAATATTAAAATACTGTTCAATATATACAATAGTAAATTGTACATTCTGAGTGCAACATATTTTAGGAAAAAATTTTGATTTTAATTTCATTAATATTGTAGTGCCTCTTAATACAAATATTGCGCATCGACTTGAAATATGTTGGAAAATCAGGCATTGCGCGCCGCAATCAATATTTTCAAAAAATAAAAAACAATCTTCCCACATTATGCTGAAAAATTTGTTCAGTCTACAATATTATTTTTGCAGAAAAAAACTGATTAATGTCCTGCCGTTGCGGCTACCGAGCAAAATAACGAAGCCGTTTGCACATAGCATAGGAGGCTTCCGGCCTCTGATTGACATGCATATATTTTTGCAATTAAAGCATAAGGGAATGTTAATAAAATTAATAAAAAATCTGGTATTTATATATGTAGTCGAACTTCTCTATTGCGAACTTCCATACAACGGAGTTTTCTATACAACGAATTTACTTCCAGAACATGCTATATTCTGCAAAAATTAATTTTATACTACGAACTTTCCACTTAGCGAATTCATCTACAATGCCATCTAGGTGTTGACGCCAGCCAAATCGAACCATTTGTTTTTTTTTCTTTCCTTTGCACGCGTGCCGAAGGTAATTCGGTTCTGCCGACCGTGCGTAGAAGATAACTTCGTTTTTTCTTTTCTCCTCTTTTGCGCTTGCGTCGTCAAAACTCTTGCTTTGTTCGCTTTACATTTATCTTCAATCGTCAAATTGTGCGCAAACGAAGCGAACATAAGTGCTGTGATTTTATTATTATCATCAGGAAAGTGCAGTGTTTAAATAATAATATGTGTTGAGCGAGTGGTAAATAAAGAAAACCTCAATTGTATAAAATGTTAAATTTGTGAAAAAACTGTATTCAAATTATATTAATGTTTCGCTGCATTCACAATATACACATGACTTTATTCTTCTCTTATTCTCGGGAATAAAAGAAGAATAAAGAAATATAATGTAAATCCGTATTACCGAATTAAATTGTTACAATCTGCGGTGGGTAAGAAAGTTCAATTTGTGAGCAGTCTAGCAGCAAAAAAACACAACAAAATAAAAGCAACAAAAGGTAACCCTTATTTGCGACGCATGGCTCGAGCAGGTGCATACATATATTTCGACAAAAATCATAGCTTATTAAGTGCATGACTTTTCTACAAAAATCATCACTTATAAAATGCATGATTTTTCGGCAAAAATCATCGCTTATTAAATGCATAATTTTTCGTCAATTCTGTTAATGCATGTTAATGTCAGCAGCTCAGCGTATGGCCGGTCATCAACTATGTCATCGGGGGTAGTGACGCGGTCATAGACGTGTCAGCAGCTGAGTTATCGAAGACCAGTGCTGCAGGTATACAGTATAGGTTAGGTTAGGTTGAGGCGGCTGCCGGGCTCGCTCGGAGCCCGTCACACTTAGGCCGGTTTCGGCCCGTTGTGATACCGCATAGGATCATTTCTTCCTGCGTTGTGAGACTTCCTGTCAGCAATTATCCCATCCAGATGCTCTCACAAAGTTCGCTATCTTCCTGGGACATAGTTTGGACATATCTGAGATGACGTGTAGAAATGCTGAGCCCAGGTGCTGTAGCCTTCTTCTGCTGAGAGCTGGGTAGGAGCAGAACAGATGTTTCACTGTCTCCTCCTCTTCCTCGTCTCTACAGCTGCGACAAAAATCGTTATGTGGGGCCCCCAGCCTGTTAGCGTGGGTGCCTATTAGCCAGTGTCCTGTGAGGGAACGTATGACTACGCTGCACCTTTTCCTGCTTAGCTTGCAGAGCTCGGAGGTGCGCTTCATGTCCATGGTCGGCCAAGTTTGCCGAGTTTTGCAACATCGTGGCCCTATTTGCCACATATCGTTTGTTAGTCGCTTGTATTGCTCTTTTATAATGAGCTTACAGGTGGCCATTGGCATACAGATATCCTCCTTGTCTTGGAGAAGGGGATTGTAGTGCCAGATCTGGCCAGCTCGTCCGCTATACAGTTGCCCTCGATGTCCCGGTGGCCCGGGACCCAAATCAGGCTAATAGAAAATTTCTGAGCCATCTCGTGCAGATATTTGCGGCAGTCTGCCACGGTGGCCGAGTTCGAGGAAATCGCACTTAGCGATTTGACGCAGCCTGGCTATCGCTATAAATGTTTAGCTTGGTTGCCGTAACGGCAACCGTTATCTGTTCCCATCTGTGAAGATGTTTATAGCCCCATCTGGGCCTGGGAGTCCCTCGAGCCATTCGTCTCTGTGAGGGATGATTGTGTCGAAGGGAGTGACTGTGTACTCTCTTGGAACTTGGTAGTCTGTTTTTGAGGGGACGGTATTGCTATTATTTAATATGGCTGAGTGACCTATGCACTGTGTCACCCATTGATCTGAGTCTCTTAGACGTATTGCTGCTGCTTCTGCCCGTTCCTTTCCTGCGAGGTCAAGGCTCTGTAGGCATAGGATGGCATTTAGCGCATCATTTGGGGTGGTGCGAAGAGCTCCGCTGATACATAGGGCGGCAGTTCGCTGGACTTTGCCCAGTTGCTTGGTGATCGCCCTTTTTGATAGGGCCGGCCACCACACCGTAACTCCGTAGAGTAGTATTGGTCTAACTATAGCTTGATATATCCATTGGACTATGCTTGGGATCATACCCCATCTTAGCCCAATAGCTTTTTTGCATGTGTAGAGTGCAGTCATTGCCTTGTTCACTCTGTCTTTGACATTCAGGTTCCAGTTAAGCTTCTTGTCAATTACCAACCCTAAGTAACTGGCACTGTCGCTAAAGGAGAGCCTGCATCCTTGTAGTATTCGAGGGTTGAGGGGCGGGACCTTGTATTTAATTGTGAATAATACGAGTTCCGTTTTTGAGGGATTTAGACCCAGACCGCGCGATTCTGCGGTCTTTGCGGTCATTAAGTCGCACAGTGTTTGGGGGTATTTCCCCGAAAAGATAATCGCAACGTCGTCCGCATAGGCCACGACTTTGCAGCCCCCCCCTTCTAGGTCACATAGAATCTTGTTGACTGCTATGTTCCACAGAAGAGGAGACAGGACACCACCTTGCGGGGTGCCTCTGTTGATATACCTTGACTGGGCGGACTCCCTCAATATCGAGAAAGGCTATGAGTGAATACTCTTTGTGATGCAGAGATTTCTCTACCGCTGAGATCACTTCATGAAGAGCCGTTTCCGTGGATTTTCCTTTCCGGTAGGCATGCTGTGCCGGGTGTATAGTTGTCCTCATTTGCAGCCCGACGAGTCTCTCAAAGGTTTCGAGGAGGAAGGACGATAGGCTGATTGGTCTAAAGTCTTTTGCAGTTGAGTGCGAGGCTTTTCCTGCTTTGGGAATGAAGACTATCTTTGCCTTAAGCCATGTTCGCGGGATTGTACCCACAGCCAGTATCTTCCTGAAGATACCTTGTAGCCAGTTGATGGCCGTATCCCCGGCCTTCTGAAGTTGGGCCGGGATTACCTGGTCTGGGCCTGGCGATTTGAACGGGTTGAAGCTGTTTATTGCCCAGCTTATGTTACGTTTTGTGAGTATGTGATCCATCGAGGTTACCGGTCCCTCTCCTGGGAGATGTACCGTCTCGATGGTTGTGCACCCTGGGAAATGCGTGTCTAGTAGAATGTGCAGGGACTCCTCACTGGAGTTGGTCCACGTGCCGTCATTCCTTTTAAGATACCCTACCGAGGGGTTAGCTTTTGAGAGAATCTTGCGAAGCTTTGCGGCCTCTGACGTTTCCTCAATTTCCGAGCAAAATTTTTGCCAAGAGGCCCTTTTGCTTTCCTTGTTTCCTTTTTATATAGTGACAGACTGATTTTGTAGTCTGCCCAGTGGCTCTCCTCGTTCGCGCTTTTGGCCCTGAGGAAGAGGGTCCTGCATCTTTTACGTAGGATGTCTATTTGTTTTGACCACCAGGGGGGTTTCTTTTTTCCCCCTAGGTTTGCTAGAGGGGCATGCTGCCACGAAGGCTTTGTTGCATGCTTCTGTGAACCTGTTCACTGGGCAATCTAGGTCGTCTTTTGTGTCCGGGCATGATGGTGCTTTGGAGGGGAGTAAGTCCTCCAGGGCTGAGCTATATTTTTCCCAGTTGGCTTTCCTGGGATTAATATAGTCCTTAGGTTTTGGACACTCGAGGGATAGTGTGGTATCGATGTATCTGTGGTCAGAGAAAGAGTGGTCATCAAGGACTTGCCAACTCTTGACTATGTCTAACAGTTTGGGAGTCACTAAGGTGAGGTCAATAACCTCCTGTCGATTTTTAATTATAAAAGTGGGGTCGTTGCCCCGATTACAAATAAATAGATTTGAGTTAAGGATGAAGCTGAAAAGTGACTCACCCCTTACATTTGTGTTCGA